CTTGGTTGTAACTCAGTGCAAAATAAGCTTGTCTAACTAGCAATTTTATTGCTGCCAATTTTAATAAGTAACATCTTTTGTTCCATTGATGCTGTTAGCATTTTATGTTGCTTGTTTTCAGAAATTATTTTTAATTGCGCTCATGCTTCTGTGGATTATGCACTTTACAGTTTTATAGCTATGCTGTGTAATATTCTGGGTACATTTAGAGGAACAGTTGGGAATAAATTAATACAAAATAAAATATTGTTACCTCTATAGGAAAGGGTGAAAGTTGACAGGTTTTAAGCTAAAACCATGCAACATAATCCAAACACAGGTTGTCTGACTGCACACCCCCAAATTTTGTTTGTCCTACAAAGTTGAGTTCTTCACATTTTTTGCTACACAGATAGCAAAAATCTATCTGTGACAAAGCTGGTTAGTGTGAGGAAGTTGTTCCTCTGTGTCTTTGGAGCAGAAAGTGTTGTTCTTGTATCAGTCTGGCCCTTGTTGAAATTCTTGCACAAGAGTCAGTAGTCAGCCAATAAAAAGCACTGGCTGATGTGATTGTGCAAAGTATTTCCTGGCATGCTTAGAAAGGGTGGTGATGGAAAAACACTATGTAAATATTTATCCCGCTTTTTAAATGCTGGGTTTATATAAGAAAATTTACAACAAATGGACTACTATTGTGATGAAATTATTATTTCTTGCATTTTAGCTCAAAAGACTCCAAAGGTGGCTTACAAGGATAAAAAATAAGCCTGCTGAATTACAATTTAAAAGTCATGGCACAAAAGGAAAGTGGATTGGGAGGAAAGCATTCTTTTAAACTGAGGCACTAGAATCTTAGTTGAAGCTAGGCATGTTGGAGAATTCTGAAGCAGACTTATAGAATCATAGGATGGTAGAGTTGGATGGAACCAAAAAGGCCATCAGATCTAACCCCCTGCTGTTGCAGGACAACAATTTATATCACCCCACTCAAATGAATTTGAATTGGTAAGAAATCTGACCTCTGGATTGCACAGCAGCTTGGCTTTCCCTGAGTTGTTCAGTTTCAGACTGTTTTTAATGTTCCAATAACAAAAATAGACTTGTGGGTTGAATATTATTTGCAAACTGCCAGTTGACTGCTTCTGCCTAATGCAGTAGTGTAACAGTCAGAAGTATTGGCAAATCATAGAATTTGGAGAACAAAAATGGTGCAGTACTTCCTCTTCAACATTGTAGTCAGTAAACAATATTACTGAAGACTACTACTATCATGCAACTTCCAGCGTGAAAGACTAGCAGAGACTGAAGCAGCTTATTTTACTACGTTTTAACATATTTTATTTTTTGTTTCACAGAAAAGTGCTTGAGTAAGGGCTGACAGGATACACCATGCACAAAACAAATGGGAAATAATTACTGTGCTACATGATGGAACTTCATCATGCCATCTCCCTTAAGCAACCCTCATTGCAGTAATGATGGATGTCAGTGTGTCATCTTACACAACAGATAATCACATTGTGCATGCCTTGGCACTGTTGTTGAGACATATTGCTGAGGTCATGTCTACAAAACACTGGCAAATAGCGTATCGTATTTCATAGAAGTGTGTGCAGAGTATTAATTTAAGCAGTTGCAAACACTGTTGCCAACATCTGAAGAACTACCTCAAGTGTACCCTAGGGTTTAGACATGCAATGGGATTAACAAATTGAACCAAATCAAAATTTCCGGTCATCAGTAGACTTTCATGTAATGCCAAATTGATTTTCAAGCTCCCCTTCATGTCAAGAGTCTTCATGGGACTGTGAAGTAATGCTATTCTTCAAGAAACCAATCCAAGGGCACAATCCAATTGCCTCTGGATAGAATGGGTGAGAGTCATAGGATTATTTGGAGCTCTGCAGCTCCAGGTTCTGTGGATATGGACTTGGAACTCTGAAGACTAATCCTACACCCTGACTCCAGCAGAGTTTGGTTTTGATGTAGTGTGATCATCCATTCTTAAAAGCTGATTAGTCTTTTCCAGTGGAATATTCATGATCATTAGATAGATGGGAATAATGTTACAAATGACACCCCAGCCTAACTGAAATGGTAAAGTTTTTCCCAAGTACATGGTTGCATAAAACAGTTGTGTCATCCAGTTGATTTTTCCCGATTCATTACTTGATCAAGTAGTAATTTCTCTTGATCTGTTACACACAGGATGTCTTCACATCCACTGTCACTCTCCATACTTACAGAGTACACTCTAATGTGGGGCTTTTCCGTTTTTATAGATGCTTGGATTAGACATAGTTGTTAGAGTTATGGCATTTCTTCCTATAAGAAGTAAGCTGTACAATTCTGATTTTGTCTTGTGTTCCCTTAAAAAGTACTTGTAGTGCTGTTATTCACGTAGGTTCTAGATTGGGTTTCTCCCTCTTTTCTGTACTATATGGAGAGGCTTATTTCCAGGGCTCTAACCTTGTCTTCAGATAACTCAGCTAACCTGAAAATGCCCAAACTTTCATCTAAGGTCACGTCTGCTTCCCAGAGCAGTCTGCATTGTTCTTAAATGTCCTGTATGGCATACACTGCCCAGTCCATTGTCAAGGAGTTTTTGCTATCTTCAAAATTGCAGCTATCTCCTAACATCTTTAACAGTGCAGTGTCCACGTAGAGATTAAACTCCTCTTTTCATGTTTGAGCTAGATTCTGAACTTGCTGGTTTCATGTGCTTGGTGGCTTCAGGCCCACCATTTTTACCTTCTCTTACTTTTTCTTCCCCCACCCCTGGTTGTTTTCTTTTACCAGCTCACATGTGGTGTTGTTCTAAGATGAAATCACCTTTATCACCATGGTTCAATTACACTTTACATAAACACATGATACACAACCAGGTGATTTTTTGCAGAGGTGTCTCAGGGTGTGGCTTCTCTCCCCCCACAGGGTGGAAGCAGTTGCCCTGAACTACCTCCTAGTTTCTCTCAGGAAGCACAGCCCTAGTAGTTCCTTTGTACTGTTAGATGCTACCATCATATTGGGAACTACCTGCACTTTTAGGTGAGTTCTACATAGAACACATTACAATAATCCACCATGGATTTTACCAGGATGAAATAAGTTTCCAGGCCATTTCTCACTCTGAGAAGGCATGGGGCTGGCATATCAGCCCTGCTCGTTAGTTGTCTTTCACTTGCAGCACCTCTAAAGCCAAAGTGCACCCTACCTTAGTCTGGCTTGAGGCAATTGTGACTCCACTAGCAAAGGCTACCACCAGCAGCATCTCTTCCAGGACTAAAGAGTAGCAATGAGGACACAAGCAGGCTACTGAACATTTCCTTTGCAGATTAGAACATGGATGTATATAATCTGTTTTATACTTACTGAGCTAATTTTCACCACATTCCCCCAAACTCAAGTGAAAGCCACCCCCCTAGGTGGGGAAAAGAGTTGGTACAACTGGTCAGACAAGTTTGTCAGGCGCTTGTGTATGTTGCAGTTGAGTGTTCTAATCAGATAAACTTGGTCAAGGATAAACTGGGACTCCCTCCCCACCCTCTGCAAGTCGAGCTTTTCTACATGCTATTCTTGCCAAAGCCTTCTATCCCAATGCAATCACTATGGTTGAGACTATTGGACTGAGACTCGGGATTTGGGTTCTAGTTCCCACTTGGCCAAGTTCATTGGCTGACCTTGGGCATGTCATCAACTCTCAGCCTAACCCTACTCACGGGGTTGTTGTGAAGATACAGTGCAGAAAAGTACCTTTTAAGCTACCTTGGGTTCCTTGCAAGAGGAAGAAAGAAGGGCTGTAAATGTAATAAAATAATACACCTGTTCAGCTGAGTTAATCCTCTCATATCTTTGGTGGAATAAAATTTGAACAGTTGAGTGATGGCCTGATAGCACTTTTTCTTCTACTTGGGAGTGCCATCAGCAGGTGCTAACAAGGCTTCAAGGGGGAGAGGGGGGAGTGTAAATAAAGCCTCTTATACAGCAATTGTGATAATAAATCTGTCCAGATCTGTGAAGTAATTGTATGCTCAGACTTTACAATTGATGCAAATGTAAGATTTCAAATCTGTTTCTTTTCTTGTAACAGTTAAAATGTACGTGTTCATAAATCTCATTATCAAATACAGTCTGGCAAGCTATTTTAGTCATCACATCCTCTCCCTAGTTAATTCCTTTAGAGTGGAATCCTGAATTTCAAAGTTTTTGTTTTGAGGACCTGCAAACAGATCATTGGAAGCAATTGCTGTGTTACTTTAGTCTTTTAAAGTACAGTATTGCATTGGAAAGCTATTAAAAAGGGATTCCCTAGAAGATGAAACATCTCACTTGCTTACAAAAGCAAACTGGGGAGACTTTTTGAACATTACCACAATGTCAACTATAGCTTAAACATTTAGCAGTCTGGATTATTCACTGCCGAGTACATTAACGGGATAGCTCAATTGGAAGTGGACTGCCCCATTATTGGGCAATGTCACAAAGCATTCTTAAAATGGTCTTGCTTGAGTAGCAAGATTTTTGATCAAAGGTACAGTGTGCAGAGTTGGACGTGTAAAGGAATCAGAGTTGTGGTGAACTGAATACCTTTGATATAGTTGCGATGTTGCTTGGTGCATTTTATTAAGGAATCACCTCCCAGTTACTTTGCTGACTAGTTTTGCTTTTTTAGATGTGCTTTAAGGCAGCAATGCAAGGATGGATCCCCTTGAGGAACAGCTGCTCTGATCTTTGTCACTCCATACCCTTATGGAGCTTAGGTAGCTTGCTGGAGGGCTGCTGTTAAGATAAGATGCTAGCACTTTTCTAGAGCCAAGAAAAAATTCAGGGGACAATAAAATGTAAAATCCTTCAAATTTTTTGGGAGGGTTTTTGCAGTTTGTGAATGTTGCTTTTGGCAATTTTACTGCAACGGAAGAGTGCTGGTTTCTTTTAAAATGCATGTTATTCAAACCTCAGAGCAAGTTTATATTTTTAGAAAACAGTACAGCAAGGTACATAAACACCAGAATACAGGGAGCTTAGAAAACTGCCTTTATTCTATTAGTCGTTGGAAACAAATACAGAAGAGAGTTTAGTTTGCTGCAGAACAGCAAGACGTTCACAGGATGGGAATTTGGCCAGCAGATGATAAGCAAGAACTTGCATTTTCAGACTGGAGCTGGATCCAGCAGGGGTTAACTTAAAGCTTCTGAAACATTCAGTTACCTTGACTGTAAAACAGCTGCCTTTCCCTTGCTCCTGAAGGAGGTATTAAAGATGAGCTTTCTGGGGATGTTTAAGTCATACAAATGGATCGGACAATTACAAATGGGGAAGGGCATCACTCTCCATTTGACTTTATTTGCAAGTACACTCTTAAAAAAACCCAGAACACCTTACGCAGAAGTTACAAGCAAAACAGTATTAGGAAATCCAATTATACAAAAAATACTACATCTAGGCTGGGATATATAGATTTATTTTTGGTAACATACATTTAAGTGGCACTAATTACACAGTAACTATAAGGTAACTAACATGAAACCATGGAACTGTTACTTTTCATAGCTGAGAGAGACTCCGGTAATTTCAGAGTTAGCACATTTTCCAAATATCATTTCCTATTAAAGAACCTCTTGGAGTAAGTGATCAGAAGAACCCCCCCTCCTCTCAATGTGAAAACACTAAAGTTATTCAGGATCTCATCCAAAGCTATGTCTGTTGTACCTGAACAGGTAGAACATGTTAGTTATGGAGTAGTTACAGCCCAATTCTCAGTGTTACCAGCTTTCTTCCCATGTCTAAAAAAGCAAGAAGAGAATTGTCTTCAATTAGCGCCAGGCATATCCTGCAAGTGCAGAGAAAGTTTTGTTAAAGGAATGTTGAAGTTAACCCTTGTGTGCACAGATGTAGTTGATGCAGACCATTATAAAAAAATCATGGTTGGCTTCTAAATACTGGTAGCAAGACTCGATTTTAAATCTCTTAAGTAAATTATAGATAAATGAAAAGGCTGGTAATCATACACTAAGATTAATAAACAGCACTTCAAAAATTCATTGAATGCGGGGCACTGCTTCAGCCATCTTCCCTTGGCTGTGCTTTACAAGAGACGGCACCCAGATTTTTTTTTGCCACGTCGGGCTTGTAAAGCAGCTCTAGTGGCCATTTCAAACACTTCCCTCACACCGTCTTTGGTCTTTGCACTGCATTCCATGTATCCAAAAGCACCGATGCGGTTTGCCATATCCCTGCCCTCTTCAGGTTTGACTGGTTCCTGTACAAACACAAGAAGAGTGAATTAATAGGAGGTCATTTCCTTCTATTAAGGGGGCTTTTTTTTGTTCTTCCAGTTGAGATACGTGCTGATTTTGCTACTATTTTCTATTGAAAAAAAATTGGACATTACTTTCTAGCAAGAGGAGGCCTTCTAAAATTGAGGTAAATATATCAAAGTGGTATACTGTTAGTAAGCTTTTAATTACTATTTTACTTTGTAGCACTATTTTTTAAAGATACAATGCAATACAAGTACTGTAGGAGGTTTTAGGGATCTGGTGGGAATCTGCTGGATTCCCTGGTCTCTTCTCCCGATTCCAGTGCGCTTTGTGGCAGCTCAGTTCCTGGTTACTGTGCTGAGTGAGACGCATGGTACAAGCCTATAAAGCCCTAAACGGCTTGGGACCTGGATATCTAAAGGAATGCTTGCGCCAATATATGCCCTCCCGCCCCTTGAGATCAGCAACGGATGCCCTCCTCCGGGTACTCACCCTCCTAATATCTTTCATGGAGGGTTCCCGGAGAAGGGCATCCTCTCTGGGGAGCTCATTCCATAGATGGGGCGCCACCACAGAGAAAGCCCTTCTCCGGGAACCCTCCATGAAAGATATTAGGAGGGTGAGTACCCGGAGGAGGGCTTTCTCTGTGGTGGCGCCCCATCTATGGAATGAGCTCCCCAGAGAGGTCTGCCTGGCGCCGTCATTATTTGTTTTTCGGCACCAGGCTAAGACCTTTTTATTTAAAACTCATTTTAATTGCTAAATTATTGAATTAATTAGGATTTTAAAATTAGCCGAGAATGCACCGGGGGTTTTTAAATGTTTTTTTTCTTTTAAATTATTATTTTATTATTATTATTTATGCATGTTTTTATGTATTTTTTGTGAGCCGCCCCGAGGCTTTGTTGCGATGGGGGCGGCATAGAAATGTTTTAAATAAATAAATAAATAAATAAATAAAGTCGTGCTACTCTTGCATGCAAGGAAGAGCCACTCAAATGGCAACTGCTCCTGGCACAGTCCCCCAACTGCTCGCGGCATTGCTCAGTGTTGGAGCAGCCAGAGTGATGCTATGAGTAGTCGGGGAGCTGCTAATCACGTGTGACAGCAACAACACAAGCACTCAGGGGCTGTGCCAGAAGCAACCACTGCTTTAGCAATGCTGCGAGTAGTCGGGGGCAATGCTTTCCTGGTGAGCACCCTCCAATCAGTCTTCTTCCATGCCAGCTGGAACTGCCTTTTGGGCAGCTCCTGGCCTGAAAAAAGGTTGCTGCTGTGCAATTGGGGCTCTGTGAGCATTCACAGGCTCCTCCCTTTTTTGGCTCTCTTTGGAAGACTGGGCTGAGCACAATAGGAAGCCCACAAATGCTTAAGGTATGGATTCTGACCAGGTTCATTCCATCCCTAGTTACAAATAGTATTTAAAAGAAATGTCTTATAGGTCATTTTATAAGTAGTAATGTGTGAGGAATCTGGTTTGGGGGGTGGCAGTCTGTTGGATTTCTTCAAATCAGCTCTCTGGACTTTGGCCTGCTTTCTCTCTGCTCTCAGTCCACCTTGCACCAAGCATTCACTCGAGTGTCCTGCACGAAGTGAGTCTAAGTATGCCTGCAAGGCTGGCTTGTGCCCAAGCCATTCACACACCCACTGTACAAGTGGAGTTTTGCTTCTGCATGCGTGACTGGAGGCGTGGCAGACTTTGCACAAAGAAGTACATACTTTGTGTTCTTGGTACAACATTGGGAATGAACTATAGTTATTCTTGGTGCGCTTTCCCAGGTCAGTATTGCACTGGCTCTTCAGATGAAGACAATGATGGCTGGAAAATGGAAAGTGCAGGAACTGAGAGGGCAGAGGAACGTGCAGCCGTCTCAAGGCTGTTGCCTCAGGTGCTCACACAAATCATGAGAACAGAGAGGGCCTGAAAGAGAAGGGAGGAGACAAAGGAGAGGACAAGCCCTTACCCTGTCCAGTCCCTGACCCCATATGTGGTGTAGGGGTACAAGAGCTATACAATCAGAGGGTCTGCAGAGATTTGGAGGTCAGCCCTTCTCCAGAAGGGTGCAGCCTACTGTTACTTAAAAGGAGAATTTTTGGAAGTTGGTTCTAGTTTGGGAGCAACAAAACACTCTGTTTATACTTACAGAGCAGTCTTCCAGTTGCTGCAGCTTGCTCGTTGTGAACTGGCAATAAAGGGCTATTTTGCAAAGAGACTGGCTGTTGTTTTGGAAGCTTGAAATGAGTAAGGGGAAGCCAGCTTCAAACACTAGTGTTCCCAAGCATTCATAGATTTGGTCTTGGCTCACATCTCAGTCAGGATGAAGCATGGGAAAGAAGTCCAGGGAGCGCAAGAGAATTTGATTCTGGCCTGGTCTTCGCATTCCTATGTGTACTTGCAACAAGTGTGTCAAGTTTTTTCTGAGTCAGGAGTTTATGTATGCATTAACCTATTGGGTTCTAAGGTTTAGCCATTGTAGAGTTTTAAGCATCTTTCCATAATATATTTAATGTGACAGGGCCTACCTGTTAGTCTTAAAAAGGGGGAGGGTACTATACATTGAAGCAAGTGCTTCATTTGGTATGTGATTTTTTTTTCAAGACAAATAACACATCTTCTTGGTATCTAAGTCCAGATTAACTGTATTGCTAATGGGACTGCTACCAACATAAATATAAGTAATTTTGGGTAAATAGCTTCTATCTCCTTCAACAATGTTCAGGCTATAATTTAACAACATTGTTTGCATTGCAATTTTTGAAATTTAAATATCTTTCTCCAAATTCAGATAAGTTTAGGGTCACACTGCATATGACTTTAAGTAATTTTGCTTTTAGACCCCCTCCAACATTTTGATGTAACAGCACCCATTATGTAGGCTAATGTATGTATGTATAATTTTTAAAAAACCTAACTTGTTGGTGAAGCCATCTGGGTTTGGAGTTTACTGTTCTCGTGGCACCTTTAATATCATCTTAAATCATTTTAAGTAACTTTTGTTGGTTGCAGTTTTACGATTTATGCCTACTTTTATCAAGTTAATTGGTAATGTATCTCTCAGCTGGTAAGTTGGGGGGCCAGCTTAAAATCTGAAGAACTAGGTAAATGATGCTGTGAATAACCTTGTTCCTCCTGGATTTCACAGAGGCAGGTTTTGATTTCTAATTGATTTTGTTGCAGACCATTAATATTGAGCCTTTGTTGGCAGATTCATAAAATCTGTAATTTAAAAATATAGTAGTTGTGATTTACTTAACTTAGGAAACTAAAGTGAGGAGAGAAGAAGCACTCTATTTTGGAAACCAATTTTTACACCTTAAAATCTTCATTATTTTCCCTCTGTCCACTTTGAAAAAATAATCATGACAACATTATTTGTTGCATTATTTCTCACTAGGTAGAACAAAACAATGGTGGAAAGGGACTAGTTACAGTTACACCTAGTTCTTGATATGCTACTTGGGCTACTGTGTGATTGTTATGTAAGTTTGTGATATATTGCTAACACGTTTCCTGCATCTTTCCAAAATTTTACATGAGAAATAAACTGACTGAACCTATTTCTTGGACTTCCAGAAAACTGTCTGGTATCAAGAATGGAGCCACTGTTTAAGAGAACTGTGACTTAAACTTATACAATGACAAGTTTTACTTTTCCATACTGTAGGGGGATGATAGGCAGACAATGAGCTTTGTGTGACACTCTATTTTCTCCACACAGTGCTTTATCACGGTGAATAAGCAGTTTTACTCATTCTGGAACCATTTGATGTTTCACAGTCTAGTATTCAGTTGCCCAATATCTATTCTAGAGCAGACTTTAAGACCAAAATTATTTTTTCTAGCTACTGTTACCCTTATCTAAAGAAACCCCTCAAATCTTATATTTTGGAGGCATCCTGCCTTTCAAAGAAGAATAGACCTGTGAAGAAGAGCCCACCTTTATAAACAGATGGAGGGCAATGCTTTATTATTCATCATGGGCCATTTCAATTATAATATTTTAAACATATTATGCTAATAGGCCCATTTAGGTGGCACTATCCACTATGCAGTATCCCACAAAACAAGCTCCAGAAAGAACAGCTCACATGAAAAGCTCTATGTCAGGGATGAAGAATCCTCTTCAGTCCAAGAGTTTAATTCTAACCAGGGAAAGGTTTAAGGGCTGCACTCCATCTGCAGACATGGCTAAAGGTCACGTGGGCATGCCCAAAATATGACTAGTGATAGTAAGCCTACTCAGAATCAAGCAGGGCAATGTTTTGGCATACCTTCTCACACATAAGTATATGCATCATGTCTGTGCAAGGCTAATGGGGAATTCCTGCATGTTTACTCAGAGCCAGTGTGGCGTAGTGGTTAAGAGCGTGGGACTGGGACTCAGACGATCTGGGTTCTAGTCCCCGCTCAGCCATGGAGCCAACCGGGTGACTTTGGGCCAGTCACAGACTCTCAGCCCAACCTACCTCACAGGGTTGTTGTTGGGATAAGAGGGAGGAGGAGATGTAAGCTGCCTTGAGCTCTTTGCAGGAAAAAGGCAGGAAATAAATTGAAAAATAAATAAATGAGAGCAGAACTGAGCCATTTATTAGCTTTGTCTCCCAACTGTACCTGCTGTTCCCTTGCAGCAAAATGCTCCCACCACCAATCAAGTGCTGTTGGAGGTAAGAGGTTTCTCCAGCACTGCCAGATGAGAGCAGGGCCTGAGAAAAAGGCTGAAGGGCTAGATGGGGAATGCTGCAGGTGAAGGTTCTCCTTTTCTGCTCTACAGAGTTATTTTGCTGTTGCAGTACATGACATAACTTCTCATGTCAGGCATCTCTCAGATAAGATTTTTTTGGTATGGAAATAGGGTTTCAGGATTTTGAACTTATTCTCAACAAGATCCTCACCGCCACCTTACCATATTTAGTCCATACTGGTGAGAAAACGTTAGCCTTTGTTCTGAGGTTCTAGGGACCTGGGAAAGGCTAAAAGTTCATTCCCGTTTTTTGAAAGGGAAATGAAATGTTACAGGTAGCTGTCAAACTCAGGGTCCCTTTAAAAAAGAGATTTCAGAAATAGAACAGGGTGACAAGGATGCACTCTTTCTGGATTCATTCAATTCTCACTAAAACCACTCTGAAAGGTTGCAGGGATCCCTAGTTTTGACAGCTACCAAGTTTGATCTCTAATAGCTTGACAGCAACTGTTTCCCTTTAAAAAGGGAAGACTGTATATTTAGCCTTTCCCAAGTTCCTAGAAGCTCAGGACAAGGTCCAAAATTTGCTCCTCCATGCAAGCTTAACGGGGGGGGGGGGGGGGGAATAAAGAGAAAGATCTTGTCAAAAAGGTGGTGTAAATTAAAAAAAAAACACACATCTTTCTCAGCAACATATCCCTTGTAGTTTGGTCTTTTCTTGACAGTTTGCCTGCAGTAAGGGAAGCCAAAAGGTGGGACTGAAAGCCTCTTCTGGGCAATGTCCAGAGTAGGCACACACTGCCCCTTAGCAACAGGCACCCCCACTTGACATTGTGCCAGCTGAGGCTTGAAATACAAGTAACTGCACTTAAGTGAACAAGTGTTTTTGCTCAACCTTAAAACATTTTAAAAATTATTTTGTGCACATATTCATACATATCTTTTAAAAACCCTGGGCATTTACAAGCAACCTTTTTAAGTTACTGCTGGGGTACCTGGTGGCCAATTCATAATTATTCAAAGTGGGCTCGTCAACTTTTGACAATCGCCCTCAAAAACAGAAATTCGCGCGGGGGGGGGGGAATACTGTGAGCCTGAAATGGCTAGCACAGCAGAGGTAAGAGGAGGAAGATTTGTTCCTCCTCAGAAGTCTCCTAAGAGACCTGCAGGAAGATTATGGTGGGATGAGGGAAGAAGAGGTTAAAACCTACAATTGGTTTTCTCTGTGAGGTCTTGGGTGATTCATCCATGCTGCCAGAGTGTGAGCTGTCATGTCTGAACTTGGCCACTGTAGGCTCAGGATTCTTCAAGTGATAAGAATTAAACAGCAAGGTAGCTTATAAAAATACCTTTTTACGTATTCTTGATGGTACATGTGTGGCTAACAAGAATATAAGCTTTTAAAAACACATCCCAGAGCATCTTATACATATTCCCATAAGTACTTTCCAAATTAACTGCTTTATTAATTAAAATGAAGTGACATATAATATAAACAGACAAGGCAACAAGTAAAAAGACCTGCCTGCTTCATTTTGGCCAGTTCCCGTCTTGTGTGTTCATCGTTCCTCAAATCCTTCTTATTTCCTACCAGAATGATGGGTACATTGGGACAGAAGTGTTTCACCTCTGGAGTCCACTTCTCTGGAATGTTTTCTGCAGTAAAACAAAATGATTGTCACAAACTATTCTTCAAAAAACGTTTAAGGTTTCGCCAACGTGTACAACAAATTCCTTTATTCGGGCACAGAAACAGTGGTTTATATCTAGTACTGAGCTAGTGGAAAAAGAACAAGAGGTAGTTCCACTACTGAGTGTGCAAGTGCTAGCAACACAAGTAGCTGAATGAGTGCAAGCAATACTTGGAATTGTGCATGGAAACTTGAGTTGTGGAACTGTGTGTGGAAACAAAATTGGAGCACTGGATTTGACACTTGAACAAGGATAAAAATAGGATTTCTGCAAGCAGCAGCAGCACTCTAGTGGAGTGATGCCACTAGATACAACCTAGTAACTTCTTTTCCCTCACCATGACTTAGCAGCAGTTTAATCAGTAGAGCTTCTCATGGTTTGCTTAACCCAAATGCCATGACAACCAAAAACAGGGTTGGAAAATTATTTTAAAAACTTAGGTGACAACATTAGTTTTAAAGCATCCCAAACAGGTCTTTGGGATTTCCACAACACTCTTAGGATCATTAATGCAACTATTAATGCTGAAGAAAGAGCCCTGTGCCATTTAGGCAGATTTTTTTCTCCAGTGCAACCCTGTGTGCATTAGAGTCAATTTGTTTCAGTTTTCACTCTGACATATCTATAGAAACTTTTGAGTATATTTTTCTCCTTTAACATTCTGTAATTTGGCTAAGGAAACCTGGGCAGCCTTCCCACCTGATACTGTTACTAAATGTTAAAAACCTCTTTCATATGAAAAGAATAATTCATATCTGAGCTTTTAAATTTATATTCAAATTCTAAATATCTTAAAGCTGCTAATTAGTGGGGGTAGTGCTAAAATTTTGGAGCACATAAAGGTGGAAAAGGAGTACTTGCCTTCAACAAAAGTGTATATGATAGTTTTTCATATTCTCAAAATGTAGTTAGCTGATGAAACAGAAATGGCCTACCAAGCTTTCCTTGGTGAAACAAATGAATCCCATACATATTTACACTAAGACCTGCTTGTTTCTTTCTGGGCATGATCCTATAAAAAAAACAACCCCATCACATGAAAGAGGTTATGTTGAGGCTGTTGTTATTTCCCCAGCCTAGTTTTACTCACAAATAACAACTTGGTGCTTGATATAAGCTCCATTCCTAAAAAAGTGGTCTAGTTCCATGAGATTAATATCTGCATGCTATCTAAGAGACAAGTGTAGAATGTGGATATTCTCTAAAAAACTAACCACTACTGGTCAAGAGGTACATTTAAAAAGGGATTTTTAAATACAAATCCTATTCACAGCTATACTTATTTTAGGTATAAATGAGACTAATCTTTTATTGAAAATGAAGTTACTTGACATTTTAGCTCTACAGTGTAGTAATTACGATTTAGAGAATGTAGCATGCATTTCAGAGGCATCTACTTACCTAAACTATCAGGACTATCAATTGAAAAACACATAAGTATAACATCAGTGTCTGGGTATGAAAGAGGCCTAAGTCGGTCATAGTCTTCTTGTCCTGCTGTATCCCATAAGGCCAGCTCCACCTACAGGAAAAACAAGGGCATTCAGCCAAATGGAAAGTATTTACATAAATGCTGTCAAGATATTCTGAAAGATCATGTCAGAATATCCAGAAGGATCTTGGTCAGATTTCAGAGCATGCCTCTCTCCATATGACCCTTCAGCTCATTAAAAAAAAGTACCCCATTCTATTTTCAACAGTGATAAGAACAGAAGGAAGGTGCTGGCACTGAGGAGAGTTCTAGAGGAACTTTGTTAGTTAGATTTTCAAAAAAGCTTAAACTTTCCAGTTTAAGTTTTAATTATTCCTTTTGAATGCTATATGATTCTTGCCAAAGGCAGGTTAAGCAAAAGAGAAAAGAACAAATACTTATTCTATTACCAGTGATCTGGGCTATTTTGCATAGGAAAAATTTTAGTTTGGTTGAAAATTTTATGGTGACCTACAGAATGATTTAAATTTATCATGTTTCTTTTACTTTTAATTAGTAAATAAAGCTTAAAAAGTATCCATGTAGCTTTTTGTCCTAATACATCAAATGTTTAAGAGGAAGAATTAAGCACACATAAAGGGATTTGAATTGTATAATAGAGTTTTTAGGTCAATACTTGTAAAGTGAAAAACAGCATTTCTCTTACATTGCTTAAATTTAAGAAAACAAAGGTACAGTAATACATTTTTGTAAGAACTGTGCATATGTTGAGAACCACACATCTATTTCAATATTTTAGCTCTTTTCCACTGAGGTTGTGGGGTACCTTGTTGTCATTACTTGTTAGTTCAATTTCACACAGATCTATATACTTCATGCACACACATATACATTCTCTCCCATACTTGCCTAATATTGTATCTGCAATTGGCCGATATCCATTGTCACTCTATGCAACATTTTCCATAGAGAAATTAAGCAGTAGAAAATTTTCTGCTGCACATCACTATCTGTTACTATGAACATGACCACAACAAAGGAACCACAAGCTTTATCATTTGTTTTCCAGTGCTTTTAATTCCCTGTCCAAAAATCTAATTTAACTGTTCATTAGAAACTTCTTTCACATTTAAGGCCAGTATATGCTTAATAATTCATATGCATTCAGGGCTCTGCACCATTGAAAATTATTTCAAAGAAGTATAACTAAGCCAAAATATAAGGACTGCTTCCAATTTTACACTATGATACACATGTACCTGGATTCATTTGAAAATGTCCACACCTTTAAACTGGTGCTGTTCTTGGTGAAATACTAAAGTGGGAAAGGATTAAAACCTCATATCTCAGGTGGGAAAAGCAGCAATTAACTTACATATAAGCTATTCCAAACTGACATGAGGCATGCATATATTGTACTGAGGTATCTTTGCTCAAGTACAAACAAGTGAGAAATAGCATCAAGTCTATTAAAAATGCTGTGGGGGATCTTATTCTCATTGAATTGTCACTATAACAACTTCTAAATACAGGCACAACCAAGGGAAAGAAAAGACTTGGCAGGATTTGTGTGGGGAGAGGACTGAGAAGATCAACTACTGCAAATACTTCTTTGCAGTAGCCAGAATCTAATTATGTGCAGTTTCATGAATGATGTTACTTTTCTCTCTTTTAATTACAGAACTGCATAAAATATAATTTGAAATTATCTTCTCCGGCTTTGGTGAAACAATGCTGCCTTCCCACTAACACTTTGTTTCTTGTACATTTGCAGCATCTATCTGGAGGATCAATTATAAAAACAAGAAACTGCTTGGAAAGGGGTTACCCCCCCCCCCCCGCAAATTCTATGTTGAGCAGTAGTCTCTAGTCCAGGCTTTTCAAACCTAGGTCTCTCCAGCTGTTTTGACAGTCAACTTTCATTGACCCATGTTGGCTAGATCTGATGAGAACAGTAGTCCAAAACTTCTGAAGGGACCCAAGCTGGGGAAGGTTGCCCTAGCCCCTGTAATAGTTGATCAATAATAAAAGAGATTCTAGTTCTGCTTATCTATACTTCTTTAGAATTCTAAAAATATGCCATTATGTAACTGAAGGCAGAATTCTTCTCAAAAGCAGTATTTGTGCAAGGCAATAATAGGCAACACTGTTCAAGGTCTGCACCAAAACTCCATCCATCTGTTAGAATAGGTAGAATAATGTGTAAGTCATGAATATAGTAACAAAGAATATATCTTGGAAATATTGCACAGACTGAAAACTTGTTTGTCTACCAATGGGTACCCATGCAATTGCTCTGATTCATACATATAGTATGGCCAGCATTTCATACTAAGCTGTTTAAAAGTCATACCCTCACCAACTTTAGCAACATCCAGAACATAATGTTCTCCCTTTTATTTTACATGATTTAATGCAAATGATTGGAAGGGGGCATCCTAACAATCAGCTAATTACATCTTCAATTTAGCAACAGAGTTATTTACTCAGACTACCAAAAATACAAAAACATTTTAGACAGGTGATTTATGACTGAATTTAAGCACTTTTTCTCATCTCAGTCCCACTGGTTTCAAGGGGTGCTGACTCTGTGTATGCTTAAAGATTTCACACTGTACACATGAAGTTATACTGTAACCATCCACAGGTACATCAAGTTGTGAAGCTTTCTTGGACTGGATCCCATTATTAATCCTACAAATGAAACACCACTCATAGAACATCCTACATGGAAGAGTAGGAAAGTTGCTAATTCTTCCTTCTCTTGTAGTCTCAAAATAAGCTGCTTTGGAAAGCTGGGGGACCCCACCAGAACAGTGTGGGAAGTGGTACAGGGGTCTGCAGTGGCAAGGAGAAATCAGTGCAAATTGTCTCTCCCCAGCACTTTCTTTAGTAGAAGCCTCTGCTGGATCTTGGTCCTTTCTGCAAACAGAAGGAATCTTTCCACTTGCAGAGGTAATTTGCTGGATCCCACCCATAGTATTACTCTTAATTTCGTATATGCTAATCCACACAGACTATAGAACATAACAAACAAATATAGTGCAGGAAGAGGGTACTCACCTGCTTTCCATCAACTTCAATATCTGCTACATAGTTTTCAAATACTGTGGGAACATAAACTTCAGGAAACTGGTCTTTACTAAATACAATGAGCAAACAGGTCTTGCCGCAGGCACCATCACCCACTATAACCAGCTTTTTCCGAATGGCTGCCATAGCTGCTGGAGAGAAACAAATCACTTATTAAAATATAACAAAGATTCATTATTCAATAGGTTTAAACAAATCCTGGAGGCAAGAGATAATTATTTTGGAGTTATATGTTAATTTTTGTAGTACTGTTAAGTGAAACTCGACTAATTTAGAGGATAAAAATCTTGCACCTAAAAAAGTCCAGGTGCCCTTCCCAAAAATTTTCACTTAAAAGAAAAAAAAAAGATTTTATGGACAAAGTAGAAACACTTAGAAACATAGAAACAGATCAAGGCAGAAGGTGCCTCCCAGGCCATATAGTCTGACCCCCCAGCTCCAGCCAGCTCTGCTCATGACATGCCTACCATGTGCATGTCCAGCCTATCCTTCAACTCCCTCAATGATGGGGCTTCAACCATCTCCTGTGGAAGCCCATTCCATACCCTAGGGGTCTTAAATGCCAGGAAGTACTTCCAGGCATCTAAATTGAACCTTGGTTCCCTGAGCTTTGCTCCATTGGAACAAGTCCTGCCATCCCCTGTAGGGGAAAACAGGTCTCTGTGTGACACTCCTTCACATATCTGTATGTCGCCAACAGATTCCCTAGGAGTCTTCTCCAGGCTGAAGAGATCCAGTTCCCGCAGTCTCACTTCATACAGCTTTCCCTGCAATCCAGCCACCACTGTGTGGCCCTATGCTGCACCAATTTTAACCTGGCTTTAACATCCAATCCAACGTGCTCATGCTTCTGTGACTGAGTTAGCATGTAATGGCAGAAAATTGTGAATTAATCCATGATTTGGCAGGTTAATCCTAATCCTCCCATTGCCCTACTGGAAGGTATTCATGATGTTTGAGCTTGGTTAGTATGCATTAATGTGAATTATAAAATTCATAGTAAACTTATAATTAGTTCTTAGGTTAACTGTAGTTTTTAATGCATGATTAACCTGCAGGTTCTTTTCAGATGTAACAATCGTGTCTGATGTCAAATAATGGGCTACTGAACAAGCCATGGGTTAACTTGGGGTTCTGTACCCTATGAAAACTTTTTGGGCTCCTATTCATATGCTATGGAAACAACTCTCAATTGTGCCATTTAAGGGACATTAATAGAAACAGGAAGCATCCCAGCAAATTCATTAGTTAATTGAATTTGCTGCTGGATGTTCCCATCACATCTAAACAGGGTAAAAGCACCTGAGTTTACATGTTATGAAATAAATTTTAATTGGGGCAACTGAAGATGGCATTTTCAAAATGGCAGTGGCATGAGCCCTAGTAAAGTGTGAATTAACTCACAATTTGCTGACATTATGTGCAAATGTGTCCATTATCTTTCTTGCAAAATACCTTCACTAGGACCATCACTCTGTCCAGTGGCCAGTTCCTTGCACAAACCAGGACTGAGAACCCTTTCTACACTGTTTTTATACACATTACATAAATACCACCTATAATGACTCCAAGATCTCTGAAAATAATTAACATGAAAGGATAATCCAGGGCCTATTTAACCTATGGGCTGCTGAATTTTGGGTTGCTGTGATATGCAAATCCAGTTCTGCTAACAGTCTATCTATTAACTATGAATAACCCAGAAAGAGCACCTTAGTTTTGCGGTTGAATGGTAACTTCTGGGTTGTTAATCATGATTTTCATTACACATGAATCCAGAACTGTGCTGAATTTCACCAGGCTACAGAGACAACAGGCAAAAGTGGCCCCTGAACTGTCAATTCTCCTACACAGTGGGAAAAAACCAGAATGCAGAATCAATTATTGTTGTATTTTAATTTAATATTTATATTTTAACTTATAATTATTTTAACTTAATGATGTGAGCCGCCCCGAGGCTTCGGCGAATGGGGCGGCATAAAAATGTTTTAATAAATAAATAAATAAATTACACATTTAGTGCTATGTGCAATTTATAGTCCCTCTCTAAATGTACCAGAAAAGTTGCATCCTATCATGAATTTTTTTACAGCAGAGAAGACCATCTTTAGCAACAGAGAATGAAAAGGAGCAATAAGTTTAAGCACCTCTTAAGTTTAATAGTTGGGCCTGCAGCATAATTTTTAGTTTGCTATAGTATATATTTGGAAACTGCACTAAACCACTCCATATTTAAGTAACTGGAAGTGCTAAAGCTGCATCAAAGATCAATCTGCAAGAATCTTCCCTCTTGGGATTGTTGTTTAGAAAATATATTTTATGATTGCAATATAAATAATTGAAATAATCTGAAATAAAATATGGAACCATGAGAATAAAGTCCAATCACCTCATTTACAAAATGCACCATAACCAACTTGCCTGGTTGCTCTAGTAAGTTAAGCATTAGATTACATCCAGGACTAATGAATTCTCTGGTGTGTTAAGTTGTGCTCAGGATGATCCAGCTAGTATCAAAATAATGGGAAACAATCCCCACCATCTTCCTCCATGCTTGCAATCAACAGTACAACCTCCCATCTGAGAAGATCCAGAGCTGTTGACTTCAGATGGTCAGGCAGAGAAGCTTTAGATTACTAATAACTAACATAGCATATAAAAGCAGGTGGGCTGGTAACTTTCTGAATTTTCAAGGCTGTTACAAAAACATTATAAATCATAATTTCTGAAGACCACAATTTACAGAACTAAAAAAGTCTAGCATTTGCCAGGTGTCCTTAATACAGATTAACAGCAAAATATTCTGAACTGTATGATTTATGCTCCCCCGCCCGTCCGCCCGCAAGTTTTGTGTTTTTCAGGGAACTATTTGAAATAAACATTCCAAGGCAAAAATGAGGTGGCAAAATCACCACTTGCAGATTAACTACAAAATACAACTTGTGATTATGCCCAGAGATTTAAGATTTCCAAAAATTCTGAAGCCATGGAAAATAATGTGCCTCTCCTCTGGTTTTTCTTTTTTCTTTTTTTAAACAATGAAATTTGGGGAAAATTGACTATATGCAACACTCCCTTTCCTATCTAAATTAAGCTTATTTTACTGATTCAGCAACCTAAAGTGAGTTATTTTCATCGCTATTTGTCATACTTATGAAATTTACAGAACAATTCTATATTTAGGCTGCTTTTCTGGGTAAATCATCTCCCACAGAGACTCCCCACCCCCACCTGGTTTCATATCTATAAGTAAAATCCACTCTATTTAATGGCGCTTATTCCCAAGTTGCAATCTTATGCACATTTACCTGAGAGTAAATTCCACTAAACTGCATACATCTTAAAAAGCATTTCAAGAGAAATACTTCACAAACTTTTTAATTTTTTAATATGCAATAATTCTCTGGAAAAAATGGAACAGGAAAACATGTTTTCCCTAAATTTCCTAGAACTTCACATCTCCAGGTCTAAAAGGAATGTGCAGAAAGAAATACAAGTAGGAAAAGAGGCTTACACGATACTACATATCTGACAGTGGGCTTTTAATTATCTGCATTTTGGTTGCTATTGGCCCAACTGCTTTCATGATTTCATTCTATAAATACTTTCCTTTCTTTTCTTTTGGATGATGTCCTAAATACTTTAAAAATGGAATGAATTTTTGTAGTATTTTGCAAATATGGGGCCAAGTAAATTAACATTAATAGTATAAAATAATATATATTTTCACTCTGTTGGATTTGCAGAATACCATCTTTATTACTCACTGGGTGATATGAAGAGTTAGAAAAAAGGCTGTCTGTGAGTTAAAAGCTGCTTCCTGTAGTTAAATCCAGTGCATGACATAAACTGTTGTAGGTTGCCAAATGCTACGTTAGCTTTCTAAATTAAAAACTTAGGAAAGAACAAACATTGCTTTCAGTGTGGTATTTCGATGGCTTATGTCAGCTTTATAATGTACAGTTTTAAAATTTCTTTTGATGTTCCATACCAAAATATAGGTCTGATATTAGTGAGGTTTACCCAATGCAACTTTACCTTTTACTCATATGGGCATTACATATCAGAGTAATTTTTAAATGGTTTTTGTAGTCTTAACCAATTCACAGTTTTCCTCCCTTATGAAATTAAACAAATACGTATTAATACTTTATAAATCAGGAGAAAAAGTTAATTCATGTTTGCATTTACATAGCCTGATCAGTTAAAATTTTAGTTGAGTGAAGATATGATAGGGTGTGAACTCTAAGGAGGAGCAGCATTTGTATATGACAAGAGAAAAAGAAAGGGTAACTGAAAGGTCAACTTCCCTTACCACATCACAAATGGCATTCAGAAACCCCATGAGTTTCAAAAGTAGTGCACTGTTCAGTATAGGGGCCTACTGCTTAGGAAGTTCTAGTTTAAAACTACATTAGAGATGCAGAACTAGTTGAGTGTTATTTGGATGTTATGTGCCTAGAGGCTGATTTAACAGTGACTGAGACGCCACTGTAATTAGTGCTGCAAATTACATTTCCTACTCTTGGGTGGAAGCAGTTTAAACCACAGCATAAACTGCTTTTATTTTGACAAAATGGGAGGCAAGGATACTTGGATTTTAGAATACAACAGCTCTGTAATAAATAAAGTCACTGTTGTCTAGACTAAAAATAGTTAATACGAAGAGAATTAGCTTAAACAGCAAGCCTTGTAGTAAAAATATTTTTGAAAGGATATTGTTTTAGACTATAATTGAAGTTGAAAAAAAGATTGATATATAATCTGTTTGAAGGATTTATCAGAAGACTTCAAGAAATGATTAGGCACTTCACTTGGTAGTCTACTTTTAATTAATTCTTCCAGTAATATTGCAAAGTTCTGATCACCTTTTATATAATTTAGCTCTCTGAATTCACTGCTGGCATATCTTTATCTTATTAATTAACAATATTGATATACCACTTTACATTTTGCATTTGAAACAACCCACTGCCACACACACACAAAACCTCCCTGCACATGTGCACATACAGGCAGCGGTATTAAGAGGCAGCTATAAAGATAGCTCATGGCTAGGGAATAACAAAATCAAGCAAGTATTTTTTCAAGAAATGCCTAATCACACCAGTGATGAGGCTTAATGTAC